TCATAAGGGTGATCATCCAGACATAGCAGTAACAAGTACTGGGATATTCCAACTCTCTTTTTGTCAGGCCCACAGCTTGGACATACTGTGCTGTTCCAGATGCTCCAGGCATGATTCCTAGAGTACACTGGCTTTTGGAAGATGTCCAAAGGCCAGGGCTTCTGGAAACCCTTGGCTACCTACAAGAATAGAATGTGGGGAGATGTGGTCTATAATCCAGATGCTGGTGCACACTTAGAAACAAATGGAGAAAGCTGGGACTTGGTCTTAAGCCACAAAGGCTGCATGACACAGATGGTCTTGCAGTGACACTCAAGTTACAGTTACAGGTGATAAGTAAGTTACATCTGCTGCCTGATCACACCTTTGCATAGTGCTTCCCTGTACTGGAATATCTTCTCCACAGGAAACAACTGTGGCAAACAGTAAGGTCATTGGCTATGTCAGAACTCTAGCTGGGAATTTAAGTTGTGATTTCCAGAGCATGTGTATGCACATGCATAGACATTTCTCCTCCTTCCCATAACCATGTTTTTGTCTGGTTTCTTAACTACTAGGCTCAAGCAAAATAAACATTTTCTTAAAAAGCAATTCCAAGCCTATTTTGTTTAACAGGCATACAAATTCTAAATTTACAGAAATGACCACCACAACATGTAACATGTAAGATTTTGTTTTCTTTCTGCTTACTTTTACATTTGAAAAAAATTTGCCATATTTAATTTACTAAATATTTATTCATTAATATTTAATGAAATTAAATATTGCATATTTAATTTCACCTGAAAATTTCACCACAGCCAAGTGGGGTATTTCCCCTTCTCATTGGATGCAGACATTTTGTGCTCTTCATTTTGCCAATTGACACAAACCCAAACTGTTTAATTACTGAAAAAACTTGAACTTACATAGCATTGAAAGCATCATTCTGAGTTGTAGCTTTATTTCAGAAGATGAGAACAAATTATGCAATTCCTAATATTTTTATCCTAAAATACACTGGGCCATTTAATACTGAAGAAGCAGAGAGTCTTTGAGCATTCCTGGTAAGTTTTGATTTCCCTGTGCTATGCCAAAAAGCTTTCTGCTTCACCACAAACATTTTCTGACTTCTCTGTAGAGGTAGTTCTGCGTTCTTCTCACAGTGAAGGAGGATGGTGAGAACCTCTGCTTCCATAACAATAATCCATGTAGAAATAAGTGAAGGAAGAGTACAGCGGATATGTGTAAAGGTACAACATATGCAAGTGAAACTGTGGTTGGCATCTGAGGGTAGTATCGCCTGTCCCAGTGACCTGAGCAAAGCACATGTGCCAGAGGTCACTAGTATGTCTTAAAAGTGTGTTGGCTATCTTGTGGGCTGCATAAAGGTGATGTTCCTCAAAATGACATGCTTCAGGGGCTTCAGGTTCTGCTGCTCTGCCTACACATATTCTGATGAGGACAATGGTTTGCTCCCAGAACACAAATTACTTTTGACCAGGGGCTTTCCTGAGAATTGTCCCATGGTTACAACTTCTTTCTTTCCTTCTTTGCTCCCTGGAACCTGGAACGGAGATCAGAGTTTTAAGTCAGTTCTTGGCTATGTCTTTTGTACTGTGGGGATAACTTCCTGCTGTTGTATTATATTATGTTGTATTATATTTTCTTCAATAAGTTAAAGTTCCCTTTTACGGTGGTTTGTTCCTTTTCCCCCTTGCTTTCTTGGTTTGACCCAAGTTATCTCCTCCCCTACACTGCCCATCACTGTAAACCAACCCCATGTTCCAGGAGCTTCCCCGTCAATCATTGTAGACCCTGCCCCTTGTTCCCCAATATTCCCTGCTCCCCCTCCCATTAAGTTGTCAATCCTCCCCTGTGCCAACTCCCTGCCTGGACCGCCCCCTTTGGAATTCCCCTAAACTTCAATGCCCCCATTGGCCCTTGTGCCCCACTCTCCACCCCTTGTCTTCCCCATTGGCTTATGCTTTATGTAACCCTGCCTTGTGCTCCACCCATGTCTTCCCTATTGGTTCATGAGTTGTACTCTCCCTTTGATCCTCCCCTGGATATAAGTTGCTGTACCATGTGTCTGTGCCTTTTGTCCCTGGACTTTTTGATGGAATGAGCCTCTTTGGAAACTGTACAAAGGACCCTTCCCCGATCCTTACCCTGGCCCTGGGCCAGATCCATCACTGCCATAGAGAGCAGTGTTCTGAGCTGAGCACCCCTGTTCTACCGCCACTTGGACGACAAATAGTCTGAGGGTGGCCGCACTCAGCGCAGTCCAGGAAAGGGCTAGCTGGCAAATCACCTCTGAAACTGTATCACCATACCTGCATTCTTCCTGACTTAGTAGAAATCTGTAAGTCTATGTGCATAAAATTCCCCAAACAGGGCAGGAACAAGGCATCTTGCCTTTCCCTAGTGATACTGCAAATTCCCTGTCACTTGAAAAACCTATATCAGAATTAGCATCTCTTTAAAGAGGCCCCCTGCCAAAAGGAAGATTTTGAGGCAGGAATTACTACTGGTTGAAGATTTCTGCCCAGTAAATCAAACCAGCCTTCTCTGATTTCAGAATGTGTATTTGATAGATAAACCTTATTGTAAATGCTGTGATAGTTTGAGAGTGACAATTCTTTCCATGTAGTAACATCTGCACATTGCTTTGCTATTAGTCTGCATAATGTTTGCCAGCAACGCAGCAGGGAAGTTCAAGCCTTTGTGGTGATGAATTTTTACTGAAAAAGCCAAGGCACATATCCCAGAGCTCTAGGGTTCTCTAACTGATTGGAAAGCCATTACAGAGCTCTGCTGTTTTCTTCAGTGCAGAGGCTGGATTTGTTTTTCATAAAAGCGCTGGCTGGCATTAACAGACCTGCACAGAGCAGTGAATTAGTGGTGCTCCCTGTGCAGTGAATGCTTGTTGCTATCACTGACATGCTGATGTGTGGTACAGTCCTTGTACTCTTCCACCATGCTCATACATCACCTTCACCAATGTCTCTGAAAGACAGTTTAATTTTTAAATTAAACCTCAGAATCTCCTTCATGTTTTGAGTTGATTTTGCAGACGTGGAAATTAAGCAAAGCCTGACCAGACAGCTTCTTACAATTGTATAAGAAGTCTGGAACAGAAGATGACTGCAGTTTTACTGAGTTCTCACTAGGCTGCAATCCTTGTGTTCCCATGTGTTAACCACATTCTTTGGGAAGGTGACTGTGTTTACAAGTTAAACACATCAGTGATTTTCCACTGCCTGTTTTCTGGTCATGCTGTTTTCCTGATCGTTGTTCACTTTTTGAGTCTATCTCTGCAGCTTCTAGGAAAAGGAGCTATAAATCGGAGAAGGTGTGCTGAGCTTCCAGCCCCAGTCCTGGCTTGAGAAGTCCTCACCTGAGGTTGGGACTTCTGCTGCTTCTACAAAGCAGGAGCATCAGCCACATCAGTGCCTGAACTGTGCTGTGGTCCTCTCAGATGCCCAGAAACTGGTGTCCTTTGCAGTTTAATAACTATCTGGTTGACAGAGTTAATCTTGTAAGAGTGGTAAATACCTTGCCTCTAGCTGAGTATATGCAGGAGCACCAATAAAAATTAAGTACATACCTGTTTTTTATTAATTGTACTGCTATGGTAACTGGTCTCTTCAGTTCCTAGTATAACACCAAATTATGTAATGTTGATTCATCATATGATCTACTTCCTGAAGCACCAACTCTCTTTGTTTGCATACATGAGGAAAGAGGAAGGGCTTTTACATCCTGCAATCCATCCCAGTTTCCTTGGTAGGTGTTGCTACATTATCTACACGTACATATCCCCATTCAGGATAATAGCTTTTAGTTGCACTGAATTCCTAAAGTAAGAACAGCTAAAACTACAAATAGAGTTTAAAATAGTTGCATTAAATATTACAGTATATTTAGCATCCACACACAGAAGGACGCAAAGTCGAGACCGGGGAGTCTTTCCACAGAGTCCTTTATTTCTACTTTTCATAGCTTTGCAGTAGTAAGTGCTATCTGTGCAGAAAATTCATGTCACTACAGGTTAGTGTCCACAAAGGTGATTAGAGGACTCCTCTGAAAGTACAGACTTCCCCATCCACCTACAAACACATCTCCTTAATATGTAGCCTTCCTGTACAACATATGTGATCATTAAAATTAGCTTTAAGTCCGCCCTGGGCAGAGATATATTTATATATTTTAGAGTTATATTCATAACTCTAGTAAGTCTTTGTTCTTCACAAAGTTCAGTTTAGCACGACCTTGGCTGAGCAGCAGTCTGTGTCAATTAATAAAGCTTAATAAAATTAATGTGTTCTCTCGTTATTTCATAATCTACACATCTGCCCTTATCTAGAAGCAGATTCACGCAGCGTGTTTGCAAAGTCACATTCATCTGTTATGACGACGCCTGTCAGACCTGAATTTGGCTTTGCAAGTTCCTGTTGTCACATGGGAAGCTGAGAAATCCTCGGCTCCTGCCTAGTACTGCGCATGACTTTAAGCGACTGAGGCTGGAGAATTTATTTCGGAAACACCGAGGAAAGGTCTCAGCTCCCGTTAGGAAAACACGGCCTTACAGCTGTCCTTGGAACAAACACGGCATTTCCACGCATGAACGGGCTTGTGTGTAGGCCGTGCGATGCGGCAAAGCAGTTTGCACCGGGGTTGGTGCGCTACAGCTTTAAACTTCAATTTGATGCCCAGCCCCGTAAGATCCGCATGTTTGAATGCCCTATTCACTGAATTTATTAGATTCCAGCGACTCAAAACCACGTGTTTTAATAGTATATTAGCAGGCAGGTGTCCTTGCGAGCAGGACAGCCTAGGATGGCCCCGCTCGGACCCACCGCCCGTGTATCGCCGCTGCCTCGGGGAGCGAGGTAGCGCAGCTCACACGCGGGCTGACGACAGCGGAAGCCGGGCGGCGGGGCCGGGCCGGGCCGGCAGCCGGGCAGAGGCGGTGCCGCTCCGCCCGCGCTGCCCTGCCCATCCCAGGACATCCCAGCCCTGCCCATCCCGGGATATCCTAGCCCTGCGCGCTGCTGCATGCGGGAGCAGGGAGAGAGCCTCGCCGGCCCGCTCCTCCAGCATGTCCGCCCGCTGTTGCGCCGGCCAGGTAGGGTCGGGAGCGCGGCAGGTGTGCGGGCGGACATTCCCGGGCACGGCGCTGGGGGCCCGCCCGGGGGCTCCGCGGCGGGGAGCGAGGTCCCGGGGAGCGGCCGGCGGGCCGGGGCGGTGGGCGCTCTCCCCGGGAGCGGAGGCCGGGCTGGGCAGGGGCCGGCGCGCCGTGCCTGCGCTGCCCCGCGGCTCGGCGGGCTCCGGGCCGGGCTGCGCGCCGGGCTCCCCCCGCCATCGGCGCGGTGGAGGAAAAGCAGCCCTCGCAGCGAGCGGGGGTGCCTGTCCGGGCTCTCCAAGTGCCCACAGTGGTGTTCCTGCCAGTTTCTTGGGTGGATTCCCTGATGTTTCGGGAGGGAGGCTGTCCCCGAGGTGCGTGCGGACAGGCGGGAGCCGCTCCGCTCACCGGACATGCTGTCCGCATGCTGCGGGTGGAGGTGCCGACATGGAGAGAGGCCTTCCCAAAGCCCTGCACGGCAAGGAGCAATTCCCAAAGGGGCAGCGGATCCTTCAGAGCTACGAGAGGCGGTTCACTAGTAGCCGCTGGCTGCAGGTGGTGGGGAGATGAGACCACATGGTATAAGAATTGGAAAGGTCTTAACTAATCCCGTATCCACTGGCTGCCTATCTGTCCTCAGACAGACCTTTCCACAAGCTCCTTTGAATTCGGCTTGTGGAAGGTTTCGGCGTGTTCAGGTACTGAAGAGGAAGTGAGAGGTGAGAACAAGTGATGAGGGGGGACTAAGTGCAGGACTTAACACTGTTCAGTATCCATGGGGTGGGTATTCGATACTCCTCATCTTACCATGGTGCACCTGTTTTCCTATTTAAATAAATTCCATAGATGAAGGACCGTGACTTGGAGGAGATAGGCAGTATTGAGGCCCTTTCCAGATCTCCTCTTTGGTTGCACTGAAGGGAAGGACTCCTGTTCCTAATAGTTGTCTCTCTGGTGTGATGTTAGACATCTCCAGACACTTTATTTTGTGTTTTTTTTTCACAAATCTCTGTTTCTGCAATAGAAACCCATTACTACTTCTGTCTGCAACAGACTAGCCAGCAAACTTACTCCTGTTTTACATATTTAAACACCTTATGGTCCTAATTCTGTAGCTACTTCTTTTCCTTTGCTCACTCTGCCCACCCTTAGAATCTGGTTATTCTCTTGTCTTTTGTGAACCTCCTGGGAAAAGTCTTACGTTATTCCTGTAGTTTGAAATCCTGGGCTGGGTTTGGTCTTTTGTTTGTGTTTCTTTCAATCTTCAGTGGGACAGGAGGATAACGGAGCATGCATCCACTTGCTTGCTCTCTGGGAGCTGCCCTGGACCTCTCCACACAGACCTGTGGACCGTGGGGACAGTAGTAACCACACTTGCTAATGTTGTTCTTAATGCAGGGGCCTCCCTGACTGCCGCTTCGTAATCATTTTGGCAGTGTGTGAAACAAGTTGTGGAGCAGCTCAACAAAGTGCAGTTAGTAGGTGCTGTTACTACCGTGGTTTGTGGCTTTTTGCATTTTCATTGTGCTCTTTTTTGGTGTAGCTCCTGGAGAAGTAACTTAAATTACCAAGAGGATGAAACTGTTGTGATGCTCAGTGGTGAATGGTGTGACTTTAGTGTAACTAACCTTTGAGACTTTCTTAAAGCCTCTGTGCCTACCCCACGTAATAATCCCTGATAGTAATGTGTTTCATTGACACTGATGTCTCACTTTGGAGTCTGTAAATAAACTGAACTCCTTAGTGTTGTTGAAGATGAAGCGAAAGCCCCAAGGTGGATGTAGTCATGATGCCAGAAATCCCTGGGGAGCTTTATTCTGCTGGCTCAAGCACTACTTTTGATGTAAGACATATATGACATATTGCTGGAGTTACACCAGCAAACATAGTGTGGATAACCTTTTTATAGGCTAAGATAATAAACAGCATAAACCATGTTTCAATAGCATTGCAGTGTCACATTTTTAAAATGAAAAATGGTCTTTGCCTTTTTTACTTGATTTATTCTAACCTTGATGAGTGCAAGTTTGTATAATATGATTAATGCAGAAGACAAACAAAGGGGATAGAAGTTCTTCATTCGGTCTCATCTAAGCTTCCTCAGGCATTTTGTGGGTGCTGTTAATCAAGCTGGAAAATCAAAAAGGAATTTGGCCTCTCCTTCAGTTTTTTTCCTGAAGATGAAGTTAACCCTGTGTCCAGAGAGATTAAGTGCCTGAGGAAAGATGAAACTTTTGTAAGAGTTATACAAAATAACTCTCATTTTAGGTCCCTGATTTTTTCAAAAAATATAGTGGTTTGATGTGGTTGATATCCTGCAGCATGAGGATTACTTGTGGCAAGTATTTTTTCCTTGTTTATATCTTATGCATTCCTCTGTCTGTGGGTCTGCTTTCCTAGAACTGACTGAGAACTTCAGTATTGTCTTTCTGAGCTATGTAAGGGCAATTTTCGTTTGTGTGTAATTGCTGCTTGTCTGCAGCTGGTATCAAAATTATATTGTGAGTTAACATGACAATTCATCTTCACTCCAGAAACTTTTTCTGGTGTGAAATAGATGATGAGTGATTGGTACTTCTTTTGAATCAAACCATGCTAAATGTCTAGTTGATGGTACCTGTCAGAATGAATGGATTCAGGTTTTGCAGCCCAGATTCCTGTTGTTACAGGATATAGCAGCAAGCTGCCAGATTTCAGTCTACTTTGGTTATGCTGATTCTGCATTTACAAAATTATTTAAAATTATCTTAATGGACATTACTGTGTGACTTGCATCCTTGCCAACTAGCCCCTGAAAACTGTCTTTGAAGGAACTTGGCCATTTATAAACTTTAATTTTTGTAGTTGTTTTTTATTGGGCAATGTACAACTTTGCTTTGAAGAAAATTGTGGTATTTAGGTTTCCAAGCTTGCTTAATGTTTCTTCTATTGCTTATGTCTTATCGATAGACCTATTTTGAGAATGCAGTGAGGATACAGTTTGGCTTGGGCCTCCACAATGCTTTTGATTACATAAAAACTCTGCTTAAATTGACAGGAAACAGGATTTTATATTTGGCTTTTCTTCAGTAGTGATTCTCAAGAGAATAAAGTTGAGATCATGGTTAAAGAAAGCAGCTGTTGCGGAAAATCTTTATTAGAATGAGTATGTTTTTTCCAGAGTTAAATAAATGTAATTTAGATTGTTAACATTCATTTTTGGTGGACAGTATGTTGTAGCTGGGTTGTTCAAGAAGATGGATTTTTCAGTTAGAACTGGTAGTTATTAAAATTTATGAAGCTCTTTTTGTAGGTTTGTTAAATCCTGAGAGATGTGCTTAATAATACTTAGAAATTATATCACGTAGTAAATAAAAGATGTGCTGCAAATTAGAGTATCAGGTTTTCAATTTCTACCCAAAATTCTAATTCTGATGGTTTGGGGTTTTTTTAAAGAAAAAAGAGGGGTAAAACCAGCTCTGGTATATTTTTCAGGTTGACTTTGGCCCATCTTATGGCTTCTGTGACTTCATAGCTTTTGGGTAAGGGAGGGAGACCCCTGTGTACTCCGGGACTGCCTGCCTCTCTGGTGCTGCCTGTTTGCACCTGCAGGTTGAGAAGGGGGCTTGCAGTCCTGTCCCATGGTCTTCTCTTTTCATTACATGGTGGTTCTGTCATCCTCATCCAGATCTGTGTCCTCTGAGGTCACAGGAGCACTGCAGGACATAAGTGTAGTGTGAGGTACCACAGTGCTGAGTGATGGTCCTGGTGGTGCTCCTGGTTTCACTCCATGGGGTGCTCCCAAAAATACCATCTCTTGTTCTGCAAATGGCCTTTGTAGGCTAGAGGGGTTTGTTTAGTGTGTTTGACCTAAGCATTTAGCTGCGGGTATTTCCACACCTCTGCCACTGCTATTATTAATTGTGATAGAAGGGGAAGCTAGCTGTCTGAGGTCAGTCCTAGAATATTGTAGTGTAATCCAATATATTAGGAAAAAAAAGACTGGTGAAGAACTATTTTTGCTGTTTGCAGAAACATGGAGTTTTTGCTTTAAATAAATGGTTTCCTGAATAATTGAATTAGCAAAGTCTTGATTTCCTGCAGCTTTGTCCATTGAGGTTGGTGTCTCATACTGATTCCCATTCCAGTAAATATGAAGGTGCATTACAACCTTTTCCTTGCTTAGGGTTGAGAGATTTTTTCTCCACTAAAACTTTTGCCTATTTTCAAGGAGACTTTAAAAACTTGTCTTTGAGGTTCCATCTGCCTGCTAAAGCGGGATAAAATTTACTGCTGCTTTCAAAAGTGATCAAAAAGGGAAGGAAAAATGACCAAAAGATGGGGAGCTCCTGTAAGTGTTGTATAATTTCCTGTTGCGTTTCTAGGTTAGAATCCTTTCCCTGTCACTGCATGAGAGGGGGAAGACAGTCTTTCTCATTCCTGCCTGATTTCCAATTGCTTCCTACTTTTTAAGACGTTTTCTCTTGCATCCCATGAGTTGGTTGTATTGTGGGTTTAAAGAAAGGCCTTTGAATACCTATAGCCCTAGACCTGTGGACTGAAGGCAGTAGAAGAGTAGGGCCTTCACTTTTAAGGACAAGGGAGTATTTTTCTGCTGAAGGATCTAAATACTACTGGTTTTATTTTAATTTTTGCAAGTGTGGCTGTTCTAAGATATCTTTTTCCCGTTAGTGGGACTTTCATTGCAATGGAAACACTTGCAGTTGTGGGTACAAGACATACTTCGTTCAGGGATGAAAGCCTGAGCTGTGACTATGATAGAAGCTGAAGGTCTCATTTGAGGTAGTGGCTGCTGCCATACCAAACACATGCTGAGGGTGCATTCTCTTCTCAAGTTAGCCATGTGAAAATGTGCTTGGACCTTAGGTTGCTTCCTGTGTCTCTCTTGAGGACCCCAGTCAATGGTGCTTCCATTTTTTTCTCAACTGTGCAGGCCCTAGGAGGTCTTAGCATTTAAAATGCCTGGCATCCAGGATATTTAGGCTGCAAGTGACCATTCTGTT